ACTATGAATATTTAAGGCCTCTTCTTTTGGTTACTTTTTTTCAGAAAGAATGACTCTAGTCTGTAATCAATTTCAACTACTAAATACTCTTACTGCTGTTTTCTACTCTCATCTATAGTCTTGTGTATTTATGATGTTTGCACTCCTTTATTAACATTAACATATTAACATAGCTGACAAAGAGTCAAACTTTAAATCCCTGGAAAATTTAAAAGATTTGACTATTAAAAAAAAAAAGATTTGACTACAATTTAGATTTATGTTTAAGTTATTTATGAAAAAGTGTCAGATCTATTTATAGAAGTGTGAACTAAAGATCTCAGAATATAAGGAGCTTTATATATATATATATATTTATATTTATAAATATATAAATATATTTATATTTATATTTATCTTAAGTAATAACGTACTCTAAATTCCAGTGAATCTACATGATATTTATAGAAAATGTTATATGACAATAAGTATGTTTAAATCTCTGGGACACCAGGGGGGCTCAGTCAGGTAAGCATCTCCCTTCGGCTCAGGTCATGACCCCAGGTCCTGGTATCAAGCCCTGCCGTCAGACTCCCTGCTCAGTAGGGAGTCTGCATCTTCCTCTCCCCTGCCTGCTGCTTCCCCTGCCTGCACTCTCTCTCACACGCGCTCTCTCTCGAGCAAATGAAGAAATAAAATCTTTTAAACCAATCAATCAATTAATCTCTACTAAGTCAGCTATAATAGATAACAATGCATGCTTCAGAAAGTTATGGTTCCCCTGTAGCCTGGCAAAAAAGAAAGGAGGTAAAGAACAGCACTATCTATGCCCCCAAGAACATAAAGATTAAAGCTGTGCCCTTTCACATCAATAACCTTAATTTTTATTTCAATCAAATTTTCTAATTTATTTCTAACCAAATTTTCATAAAAGTCCTTTCTCCTCTTACCCCAAGAGTTAAAATCTTATAGGGTAGGACTCTAGCCTGCTTCTAGACAGAAAGAGCATATGTAATTCACTTGATAATTTTTTTCATTCTGGCTAGCAAATGAACTCTATTTTAAGCAACATATACCAGACACATCAATACTCTAAGCACCAGGTAGCTGATCTGGTACTGTAACCACTTAATTTGAAAAGAAATATCAGCATGGGGTAACTGGGTGATGGACAGTGAGGAGGGCACGTGATGTAATGAGCACTGGGTGTTACTTTCCTAGCTCCAAAGTTGCTTTTATGTATAAAGATGCGATTTTTTAGATATGTTATGAAGTCAAAATAACACCTATCTTTATATTAAACAAAAATTAAGAAATATCATTATGAATGTTGGATCATTAATAAGCTACATGAACTATCTGAAAATATTGCTAGTAGGAAAAAAGATCCTTTCTAGCCCAAGTACCAAAAATTAACACAGGAAATAAAGTTATTATATGTTTTAATATTCCCAAGGACCACAAACAGATCCCCTAAACAATATACATAAACAATAAAAATATGCAAACACTCTATATCTTAAAGTAGGTCCTAATTTACTGTATAAGTATCTGTACAGCCTGTTATTAATTTAAAAGTTAATATATATGCAAATCAAATCAGAGCTGTAAATTAAGGACAAATTCAAATACTCCCAAGTAGTAAATTTTAACTATTTTCTTTTCTTCTTAATGTGAATAGGTTTATGGTACAAATATTTGATCCAAAATGTATTTGGTACTTGTTGCTTTTTGCTATGATAATACAAGGAGACAGCAACTGATGCTATTCAACTTTTTCAAGACTTCTGAGAGTATCAAATATAAATCTATTAGAGGCCAGTTTAATATATAAGTTGCACAAATAGAAAGACCTTTTTAGGGTAAGAGGCATTTTTCCTTTATTTTACATAAGAACAAATACTAAAAGACAAGAGTCTAAAACTAATTTCTCCAAACTTATTATTATTGTTGATTTATTATCAAAAAATGGTAATCTATAAGTACAAAGGTAGTAAGCTTAGTTTTCTGAATTTTTAGTGGACAAAACAATCGCATTTGAACTAAGAAGTTGCTCTTTAAAGAACCAGACTCTACCTCACTCCCCTCGGGAATTATATGCTTATTCTTATTAGAATAAGATTTATTTATTTTTATTTTATTTATTAATTTAAAACTAACAGGTAAGATTTCAGGTTCCCATCTATAAAGAAAGACAAAAAGGAAAGCCTCAGCTTCCAATGTATAGAATATTAAAAATATAAATGTTTCATATGTCATTTTTGTGTTTTTTGTGGGGGAGTAAAACAAATGAATAAAGGGTTTTAAATAACCCCGACCAGGGAGCCTAGTGGCTCAGTCAGTTAAGTATCTGCCTTCAGCTTGGGTCATATTCCGAGGGTCCTGGGATTGGGCCCTACGTCTGGCTCCTGCTCTGCAAGGAGTCCACTTTTCCCTCTCCCTCTCTCCCTTGCTCGTGCTCTCTCTCCTGCCCATGCTCTCTCACCATGCTCTCCCCCATGCTCTCTCTCAAATAAATAAAATCTTCAAAATAAACAAACAAACAAATAATCCCAATTGATGCTATTTAAGTTACTGGAAGGGCAAACACATCAGCAATAAATATCAAAAGAACATACAATATGGTCTTCTCCTGTTTCACATTTTTAAAAGAAAATTGCTTTTATTTATTTATTTATTTATTTTTTAAAAGATTTTATTTATTTATTTGACAGAGAGAGAGATCACAAGTAGATGGAGAGGCAGGCAGAGAGAGAGAGAGAGAGAGAGAGGGAAGCAGGCTCCCTGCTGAGCAGAGAGCCCGATGCGGGACTCGATCCCAGGACCCTGAGATCATGACCTGAGCTGAAGGCAGCGGCTTAACCCACTGAGCCACCCAGGCGCCCCAAAAGAAAATTGCTTTTAAAGTTAAAAACACTACAAATAGAAATCAACAAAAAAGAAAGTAGTCTTTAGCTAATTTCAAAATAAGGATCTAAATAAATACTAAAACACCATCAACTCGTTAAAATGGGTATTTTCAATTTAGGTTAGCATTACTTCAAGTACTGGCTGTTATATATTACAGTAAAATCTGACAACTACCTAAACTTGAAGTCCAAGAAATACAGGGGAAAATATACATACTCAAATTCTCAAAACTAAACAAGCACCAAGCAAACAGATTATTCAATATATCTATATCCAAGTTAGGATATATCTGAGATTTAAAAGTTAATAACTTTACATTTTAATGCCAATAAATAAATCATATAAACTGGTTTTATCTGTTTGAACACCAAAAGTACATTTTCCCCTGACCCTTAACCTATGACCTTTCTCAGATTCAAACATAAAATAAAAGAAAAAGACACTTAAAAATCTCTGACGACTGGGGAGTCCTGGGATCGAGTCCCACATCGGGCTCCCTGCTCAGCAGGAAGTCTGCTTCTCCCTCTGCCTTTCACCCTGCTTGTGCTCTCTCTTGCTTGCTCTCTCTCTCAAATAAATAAAAAAAAATCTTTAAAAATAAAAGAAAATAAGATAAAATAAAATAACCTGAAAGACAAAAAACTTACCTGAGGGAGGTGGTGCAGATATAAATAAATACTGGGAATAAATTGATAGTAGGTATAACAGGGTGGTAGGTATATGGAAATTCATTATACTACTCTATCATTGTGCATTTCGATTTTTCCAAAAAGTTATTCCTACCATGCACAGACTTTAAACCAGGAATTCAATTTTTAGAATTTAGCCTATAGTTACATTGGACAAACATAACAATGTCAGTATAAGAACGTTCTGCAAAAAAGCCTAAATTTCCATTAAAGGATAGGTTGATAAATTGTGTTTATCTAAACATAGTAATGTCCTATATCTTTAAAAATTATGGAGGTCAATGAGGGAGATTATGGAAAAAGATCCAGGAAAAAAGAAAAACATCAAGGGCAGAACAAGAACTCTAGTTTGAACATGTTTAAGTAAACAAAATCAAACGTGGATTTATGAACACCCATGAGATACATGTCCATATTCGTGACAAATTTCTGGATGGCTATTTCAAAATCTTAATAATGTGCTTGTCTGGTTGGGCAGGAGATAGGGGACCAGAAATCTGTGAGAAGGAAACATTGATTTTTCAAACATTTTTTTATACTGTGATTTTTGGTGGGGGGCATGTGAACACATTATATTCACTACATTTATAATGAAAAATAACTAATTTTTTAAATCCTTCTTCTACCGAGATGATTGTCATTCACTTAGGATCTGTCTGTGTTCAGGGTCAATGCTAGGGAGGAGCTTGTCTCAAGCAAAACAGATGAGCCGTGACACTCTTATTGCTGATCCTATCTCGGGGCCCTTCCTGTACCTCTATCTCACCCTGATGACTGATCGATAAACGTACCATTACATCAAATATTTGTTCTAAAGATGTAAGTAAGATCCTTCCTTGGTGCGAGTCAAACAATTAACAATTTTTATTGAGTATATAAGTGCCGGTTCTGTGGGGGAATACAAATGAATAGGATTATAGTCTTGCTCAAAATGTTTAAAATCTTACAAAGAAAAAATATGCATCCTATGTGGACCAGAAACTAATTTGCCATGCAAACACATTATGCACTAAGACAAGAAGAAGTCAATGAGGAAATGAATAGTGGTTCATGCAGGAAATAAAGAGGGCAGATCTGATCTTGAGATGAGCTAGATTTAGATATACAGCAGAAAGAGGATTACGTAAGTCACTGGAAAGAATGTACAGAAATAAAAAATTGAGACAGTGAAAACTCAGTAGGACTAGAGATGGGAGACAGGAGGAAGTATAAAATAAGTGATCAGCAGGAGTAAAGTTCAAGGTGATATATATCCTAAAAACCAGGAAAAATTAAGATTTTGTAAAACAGGCAAAGGAGAGTTTTAACAAGCCATTTGGCAGCACCAGCATGCTAGACAGGGTAAATTATCTACACGTGTTTGCTTCCTTTTGGCTTGCTTTCTTGACATGAAAAATAAAATAACAAACATTACTTCAATACCTCACTTCCAGACCCAGATTCTAGTGGTCTCTTCTTTCTTGGTCCAATAGCCGCAAGAGCTGTGAGGTTAGCATCTCTATGCTGTATCTGTGCAAGCTCCAACTGTTGTAACTAGAAGATGGAATAAAAGAAAAAAAAACAATGTTTACACACAGTCATGCTAAGAGGAGGGAAGAAACTGATCACTAAGCCTACTTCTGTGTTCTTCACCAAATAAGCTATAGTACAAAATAAATATCAGATTCCCCTAATAACCAAGAGCACATCATTTCCTGATGCCTTTACTCCAACATAATCTTTAGTCCTCAATCTATAAATAGAAGAGATAGAATTTAGGTAAAAAAGAAGTATAGAATAGAAGAAAAACAAGAAAAGAAAGGCATCTACAGTTTAATCTTTTCTTACTTTAACCACAGGTAAGAAATGCCTGAAGAATAAATAGAACAGCAAATTGGAGAGATATTAACCAAGCCATAGTCAACTTTTCCAGATTAAAAGAAAATTACTTGAAAATAAAGACAGTTTGTGTGTGTTATAGGGAACAGTTCTATGCTATATGATTTACAAACTACCTTGTTAAAAATTAACTCATTTAACTCTCACAACCACATTGAAAAGGATATATTAATTACTATAATAGGATATGAAAATTACACATGCATTCATTCCCCCCCCCCTTTTTTTTTAACCAAGGAAGACATGCTCTAAGAGCTTAGGAAAACTTCATAAAGGTCACATAAATAATAAGTAGTGGAAACAGAACTCAGAGCCAAGTGTTCTTGTTACAAACCCTTTCTACATATCACACTTGCACATGGATTTATTCTATATTTATCTTCATGCCAAAAATTGAAAGTACTCCTCAGCAAAGAAGGGATAAAGGGAACATATCTCAATATCAAAAAACCATATATGAGAAAGACTCACAGCTAGTATCATTCTCAATTGGGGAAAAACTGAGAGCTTTTCCTCTAGAGTCAGGAACAAGACAGGGATGTCTACTGTCACCATTGTTATGTAACATAGCACTGGAAGTCCTAGCCTCAGCAATCAAACAATAAAAAGAAATAAAATGCATCCAAATTGGCAAGAAAGAAGTAAAACTTTCACTATTCACAGATGACATGACAATCTACGTAAAAAACCCAAAAGACTCTGCCCCAAAATTGCTACAACTCACAGGAATTCAGCAAAGTGGCAGAATACAGAATCAATGCACAGAAATCAGTTTTATTTCTATATACTGAGACAGAAGAAAGAGAATTAAGGAGTCAATCCCATCTACAATTGCACCAAAAACCGTAAGATACCTAGGAATAAACCTAACCTAAGAGGCAAAGAATCTATACTCAGAAAACCCTCATGAAAGAAACTGAGGAAGACACAAATTTCATGCTCATGGATCGGAAGAGCAAATATTGTTAAAATGTCTCTGTTACCTAGAGCAATCTATACATTCAATGCAATCCCTATCCAAATACCATCAACTTTTCTCACAGAGGACAAACAATCCTAAAATTTGTATGGAACCAGAAAAGAGCCTGAATAGCCAAAGGAACATCGAAAAAGAAAATGAAAGCTGGTAGCATCACAATTCTGGATGTCAAGCTCTATTGCAAAGCTGTAATCACTAAGACAGTATGGTATTGGCACAAAAACAGACATACAGATCAATGGAACAGAATAGAGAACCCAGAAATGGACCCACAAGCATATGGTCAGTTAACCTTTAACAAAGCAGGAAACATTATCCAATGGAAAAAAGATGGTCTCTTCAACAACTGGTGTTGGGGAAACTGGACAGCCACAGGCAGAAGAATGAAAGCAAACCACTTTCTTACACCATACACAAAAATAAATGCAAAATGGATGAAAAACCTAAAGGTTCCTAAAGGAACCTAAAGGAAGCCATCAAAATTCTAGAGGAGAAAACAGGTAGCAACCTTTTTGACCTTGGCTGTAATAACTTCTTACTAGATATGCCTCTGGAAGCAAGGAAAACAAAAGCAAAAATGAGCTAGAAGGACTTCATTAAGATAAAAAAGCTTCTGCACGACGAAGGAAACAATCGATAAAACTAAAAGGTAACTGATAGAATGGGAGAAGATATTTGCAAATGACATATCTGATAAAGGGTTAGTATCTAAAATCTATAAAGAATTTAAATTCTACACCCAAAAAATAAATAATCCAGTTAAGAAATGGGCAGAAGACATGAACAGACATTTTTCCTAAGAATATACAGAGATGGCTGACGGACACATGAAAAGATGTTCAGCATAAGTCATCATCAGGGAAATACAAATCAAAACCACAAGGAAATACTACCTCGCATCTGTCAGAATGGCTAAAATTAACAACACAGGAAACAACAGATGTTGGCAAGAATGTAGAAAAAGGGGAACACTCTTACATTGTTGGTGCGAATACTAGCTGGTACAGCCACTCTGGAAAACAGTATAGAGGTTATTTAAAAAACTTAAAAACAGAGGATTGCCTGGGTGGCTCAGTCAGTTAAACATCTGCCTTTGGCTCAGGTCATGATCTTAAGGTCCTGGGATCGAGTCCTGCATTGGGCTCCCTGCTTAGCAGGGAGTTTTCTTCTTTCTTTCCCCCTCCCCCTTGCTCATACTTGCTCTCTTTCTCTTTCAAATAATAAAATCTCTTTTTAAAAAATGTTAAAAATAGGACTACCCTATGACCCAGCAGTTGCACTGCTATGTATTTCCTTCCCCAAAGGATACAAAAATATAGATTCAAAGGGGCACATGGATCCCAATGTTTATAGCAGCATTATCAACAACAGATAACCTATGGAAAGAGCCCTAATGTCCATTCATTGATGATGAATAAAGATGATATGGGAAGGGTGTGTGTGAGTGTGTATATGTGTGTGTAATGGAGTATTACTCAGCCATAAAAAAGAATGAAATCTTGCTATTTGCAGTGACATGGGTGGAGCTAGAATGTATTATGCTAAGAAAAATGCATCAGCCAGAGATAGTCAAATACCATATAATTTCACTCATATGTGGAATTTAAGAAACAAAACAGATGAATATAGGGGAAGAGAAAAAAAGAGACAGGGAAACAAACCATTAGAGACTCTTAACTAGAGAACAAACTGAGAGGTGATGGAGGGGAGGTGGATGGGGGGGACAGGCTAAATGGGTGATGGGTATTAAGGAGTTTGATTGTTTTGATGAGTACTGGGTGTTATATGTAAGTGATGAATCACTAAATTCTATACCTGAAACCAATTTTACTATATACGTTAACCTGAATTTAAACAAAAACTTGAAATTCAGAAGAAAAAAAGAGAGGGTTAGCATTTGCTCTCTTCAGGTTTTAAAATGAAAATTAAAAAACTGAAAGAATTATTTTGCTGTAGTTTTTATCATAATTCACCCAGAATACCCAAATCTACAAAGCATAATTATTTAATATGTGGATACTAAACTGTATAGTGAGACACATGGAAGATCCCCCATTAAAAGGCAGATAAGACATTAATATTGGAAAATAAATGCATGAAACAGAGTATCATTTCATGAAGGCAGGTGAGTGTCAAACAGTATTCATTAAAAAATAATAATAATAACCAAGTTGAAATGAAATATCACTACATGAATCCTTAAGCTTCTCCAGAAGAGGAAGAACGTTCAATTACCTTCAAAATCTTATTACTATAGAGGGAAAGGAAGGAAGAACCTGGCACTGGTTGCTAGACAAATATTCAAACAAGATCCAAGATAGCCAACTGAAAGTAACCTGTTGAGGAACTTGACACACACACATAGACACAAAGTGAAAATATTCTTTTTTAAAAAGAGCACTGACAAAATTTTGAACCTATTGAAACAAGAACGGGATAAAAATAGGAAATAATTTGTGGTGAAATAGGCAGTCTCAAGGATATAAAATAAACATCACTTTCAGATTACTTTATAATATTAGAGGAAAGATTAAAAAATAAGCCGTAGGTAACTAAGTCTTTAGCAAGGAAGAAAACACAACTTAAAAAAAAAAAAAAGAAAGAAAATTCTCCACTTGTTTCACAAATTATAGGGCAGAAATTCCTGTTTTAAATTGTGGACTCACTTATATATAAACTGCTAGAAAACTTTTCAGGAGTTAGAAATCGTCTTTTGTTGATGCTGGCCTTTTAAACAGAATATATAGTGTTAGAATCTGATGCTGTCATAGTCTGGAACTTCCAGATGACAAAATACAATTTTAGTTAATCTACCCAGCAGCACAAATCAAACAACAAGCTATATTTTAAAATCTTTCCCTGGAGAAAAATGGCATCTGCAAGATAGTTACAACAAATAAAAAGTTTTTAAATTGACCTCTGTCATCAATTTTCCATACCTAGGTAGTAAAACACTTTCTCCCACTCTGCAAATTATACTCTGTTTTTCTGAAATCTCACATACAATATTTTAAAATTTTGCAAAGCTTTAACAAAAATTAAAACTGACCATAGTTTTGGTTTGTCCTATGTTCCAACAAACTTTCATAAAAATAATGTATCTTGGTCAGTACAATAGAGAAAAACTAGGCATATGTAACCAGAAGAACATTCTAGGCATTAATGCAGATTTGGCATACACAAGTGGGGAAGATGATATGTAAGCCAGAGTTCAGTAAAGACAGCCAGGCACCAAGTTAGAGGCTTGTGGGTAGAAACAGGAGTGAAAGTGACATGATTATCTACACAGAAAACCTCAAGTCAGCTATAAAAACAAAAACAAAAATCCTCCTAGGACTAATAAATGCATTTAGCAAGGTTGCAAGATGCAAGGTGAATGCACCCAATAATCATTTCTAAATACTATTAAGGTACAATTAGAAACTTAGGTATAAACCTAAAACGGACAGATATTTGTATGTGATAAATCACAAAAGGTAGATGAAAGAAATAAAACACAAATGGAAAGACATGTATGTATTCATGGACCGCAACAAGACTCAACAGTGTAAACATTTCAATTTTCTCAAGATTTTAATAGATTTTTGAAAAACATTTTATTTATTTATTTATTTGGCAAAGAGAGATACAGTGAGAGAGGGAACACAAACAGGGTTCGTGAGAGGGGCGCCTGGGT